TTGCAGTGAACCTGACGCCTATTAAACACAGTTTCTCTTAACAACTGAGATTTTAATTTAATTAAGGACTGGCTCAGTGGAGATCTGCTTGCAATTCTAATCTCCATTGGGATTGCTTGTTTTAAAATTTGGCATATAGTCAGCACGCTGCAGAAACCTGGACTGTATTCCTCACTCTTACAGCTGGCAAGTTAAATAATGGCATCCCCTGCATATATTATTAATTGAAAAAAATTATGCTGCCAGATGATTAATACCAAAAATACTTGTTCTGGAGACTGCCAATCTTTAATTTAAGAGCCTTCACTAAAAGAGGCACAGTAATGAACCTGGGTTGGTTAGAAAGCTTCTTAGAAGGGAGAGGTATTAGGAAATCCTACCTGAAGGGAGGGCAGGCTCCTAGCCAAATTCCCCAGAAGGAACAGGAAGAAAACTGGAATCTCTTATTGCCTGTCTATGGAATAACAGCCTCTTGGTCCCTCAGCTCTGGGGAGTACTTGATGGGAAGACATCTTTCATCCCAGGGAAGTTCAAGCTCTTGAACAGCACAGCTAGATCAGTGACTAGGAAGTATCCCATTCTAGAGAGGTAACACTGAGGGTGTTCCCAGCACACACACATTAATGCTCTCTTTAAGGACGCTGCTGTTGTCGGAGCTGTTGCAGCCACACAACTCCCTTTCAGAATGCTGCTCTGGATTCAGCTGTGCAGTCCTGTTCCAGCTTCTGCAGCCTGCAGAGAGGCAGGATGCTTGCTTTGTAATGGGAGCTCTTTAGCAGTCCTTGAGCTCTGCCTCAGCTAATTCTGCCATGCTAAAGGTGTCTGTTTACACACAGGCACAGAGAGCAAGGATTCACTTGGAAGATTTTCTGGCAAGTTGTTGCCTTGGCTGCAGTAGGCTGTTGCTCTGCTGACAGCCTTGCCTGCTGAGCAGTGATTGCAGCTGGCACATTTCAGAGCATTTGTGACATTGTCTCCTTTTTTTCTTTTCTTGCTCCCTTCAATGTGCAGGATGCCAGGAGCAGTGCCGGTTGTCGGACCGTTCCCGCCACAGCAGTATGTCCGGGAAGAGTCAACTGGCCCAGGAGGCTACAGTTACTTCAGCCAAGACCTCTAGAGCAAGTTGCAGCACTATTCTTGGAGTTGTTGGTGGCCCCAGAACGCACATCCTTTGCCAGCCCACAATGGTTTCATTATCCCTCTGGATAAGCAAAGCCCTACCCTCCTGTATACACCCGTTGAGCAGAACGGGGACTGAATCTGTCAGGAAAAGGATCCAGCTGGAAGAGACTTGCTAGACAGCAAATACTTCACTCCCTTAGAGTAGTTTTCATTGTGTAATTGCTTCCTGTGAAGGTGGGTGCGGTGTGAGAGGAAGTGTCTATCTGGTGTAAGGAGGGTTTGGCAGCAAGCTGGTAGTGCCACCTTCTCCCTGTCCCCTCTGGGGGGCTGCCCATCCTGCTGCTGGACTGCTCTCAGAGGGATGCCAGCACCCATGGGCACCCCCAGGCATGACAGGAGGGGACTGGAGCCTGGCTGTGGGACCAGAGCCACCCACATGGCCAGGAGACTGAGGATGGAGCATGGCCCTTATCCCTAGGTGTGCCCTGCTGTTGGTGTGTTGTTGGCCAAGCTCTGCTCCTCCCTGCCCTGGGCCAGGGCTCTGGCTGCCTCACCAGTCTGAACTCCATTGCCTTCAGGGCTGGCAGGCGCAGAACAGAGCATAGAGCCACCCAACAGCCACATCCTCCACAGAAGCACCACAGTCCCCTGCCCAGGCCACAGCCAGCTCTGTGGAGCCAGTTGCTCCTCCAGAAGAACACCCAGGGTCCCTGCCTCAGCCGGGAGAAGCTCAGTCCTGGCCACAGCCCCAGCCACTGCCATCCCTCGTGGCCCCGCAGGCTCCATTGAGTAAATCAAGTGCAGATGTGGAGTCAGGACCGGGTGCCTGCTTACAATTAGGGGCTGGGAAGATTGGGGTGGCCCCGTTCTTGCAGTTTCTTGCCATGGCTGCTGCTTTACTGGGCTGAACCCCCAATGTTGTGCAGGGGACAGGGCTGGTGAGCAAAGCTCCTGCTTTCTTGGCCTATAGAGCAGCACTGTGGTGCCCAGCCCAGCACATGGTGTGTGCCATGTCCCCACGGGGAGCAGGACACTTTTTGGCCCCATGCACGCTGTTCCCTGTGCCAGCTGCGGTTGCAGCACTCCCCCACACGGCCAGGGCAGGAAGAGGTGGCAGGGCTGCAGCAAGACATGGCATGGCACTGCCCACCCTCCTGCTGTATCACCCTCAACTTGTATTTTCCCTGCTGGGCCTTCACTGCCCAGATCTATGGATGCTCCTGTGCCATACTGGAGGCTAGACAAATCCTGGGCCCCTGGAGTCCCTGTCCTGCAGCCCCTGCATTGGGCCCCACATTCTTGGCTCCCCAGAGGGAGCAGCAGGTTTATGTTTGCCAAGTTCTGCCTGGTTAAACCTTAACCAAGCTGGGTTGCTCCATCAGTCCCTCCCAGCCGGAGATAAGGATGGGCAGGCAAGACCAGGGCCTGATGGGACATACTGCCCCGAACCTGGCTGCTTGCCTCCAGGGCAGGACACAGCCCCTGCAGGGCACCCTGCCCAGTCTGGGGGCAGCTGCCTGCCTGTCCAGCTTGCCCCCGGCCTTCCTCAACGGGTCCCCACTGATATGAGGGCAGCAGGTTGTGGCTGGGGCTGGAAGCTACCATGTTGAAGCCAGTGGGACTGGATGGAGCTGGAAGCCCTTGTGCTGGGGCTCACCCCTTGCTCCAGGGCTGACCCACTCCCTCAGTGCCAGAAGGTTCACATCACCCCGGCACATGGAATGAGCCTGCTCAGCCTCAGATCCTATGCACACACAGAGTACAGTGAGTTGGGGCTTCTGTGCCCCAAACAAGAGCCGTTCAGGGGAGGCCAAGAGAAACTTCCAGGAGGAAAGAGCCCCCCAGGCTCCAGCCCCCACAGGAGCCACCGTGCTGCGCGGGCTCTGGCTGGCCGCAGGTGCCACCACAGCGGGAGTGGCGGCAAGTGCTGGGGCCAGGCGCAAGGGGCGGCTGTGTTCCCGCAGCCCCGGCTGCCTTCCAAGAGCAATATTGTTGGCACCAGGCAGGCTCCCTGCACCGGCAGCACATACATGGGCCTTTCATGAGGAGAGTGGGGATGATTTACTGCCTGGGGGAAGGGGCAGGGGCGGGAGGATGGAGCCCCAGCATGCCGGCGCCCGGCCCCTTGTGCGTGCTCACTGCCGCGGGGCCCCGCACACGTAACCAAGGCCAAGGGTCTGGCCAGGGGGTTGTCTCTCCCAGTGGGACATGGGGCAAGAGGGATCCCTCTGCGCCGTCTGTGGAGTTCTGAGAACACACTGAATCTCTGGGCACCCCGCTGTGGCTGAGCTAAGTAACCACGGCTCACACATCGCTTGTGCCACAGTGGTGGGGGCAGCCCATGAGCTGGGGGAGATGGGCACTAGAGGAGGGTGCTGGGGTGGGGGTGCACCCACAGCGCAGAGTGCTGTGCTGGCACAATCCCCCCTTGTTGAGCTGCTGGTGTGGCAGAGGCCGTTGTGGTGCTGCCGGCAGCGGGTGGCAGGCGGCAGGGCTGGGCTGCTGTGAAGGGCTTTTTGTTTGCAGTCAGTTGCTGTTATAAATCAAGCCAGGCAGCCCAGCCCCAGCCCAGCACTGCTCCACGGCAGGGAGGTGACCAATTCCCAGCTGCCTACAGCAGAGCCCCACCGAGCCCTGGCCTGTGCCTGGCATTGTCCTGGCCCAATGGGGATGTTCAGTGTGACACTGGGCAACGTTCCCACACTGATCTGCTTGCCCTTCTTGCACTCAGCATTGGGGAACCCTGGGATACAGGGAATCTTTCCATGTTCATCCCAGGCTGTGGCTCCCACAGGCTCCCTGGAGTCCTAGCTCTCCCTGGTGTTCCCAGTACTGGGAACGTCCCCTTCTTTCTGGTTTTAATTTGGTTTTGGTTCGAATTGAGCTGAACCCAACATTTTTCTGTGCTTCCGGCACGCTGTGAACTCTGCAGGGGCGGCCGCTGCTCCGTGAAATTGATGTTCTCGTCCGCTTCACGCGTCAGCAGGAATGAACAGCTGCTGGGGGCTGCTAGCCCCTGGGACTGCTCTGTGCACCTCTGCACCCCAAGGGGACACCAGTACTCCAGATGGGGAGCAGCACAGGGTGGATGGTGCTATGGGAGACTGTAGCACCTACCAGACCTCACAGTGAAACCGTGTCATGCTGGATGGTTTGGCACAGCGGAGCAGCATGGACAAGGCTGTGCCCAGGACTCGTGGTGTGGCCCTACAAAATGAGGGGTGACAGTGACAGTGTACCCTACTCACAGGGCCTCAAGATCCATGCCAGGCATGGGCAAGGCTGTGTGTGGGGCTCAGCACAGCCCTGGAAGATCTTGCTGGAAAGCAGGTGGCAAAGCAGATGGCGATACAGGAAAGGAGAGCAGCTCTAGGGCCAGACCCTGGCCATGTACTGAGGGACACTGACCCCTCTTGATGGCAGCAGGCTGCTCAGGGGACATTGTTCCTTGGGATCACACCGGCTCAGAGTGTCTGAGACCAGGCTTCCCCCAGTGCTCAGGGGTCTTGCATGGGCCAACAAGCAGCAAGGCCTGGGCATGGTGGGGTCTGCCTGCCCCAGCACAGGCAACAGCATAGGGAAGGTGAGGGCGAAGTGTTTATGGGCTGGATTAGGCCACTCCAACGCTGGCTCGCACCTTAGCCACGTTTTATGGCACTCCGTTATGGGCTCCTAATGAGGGTCACAGCCACTTTATGGCACTGACAGCGATAAGCTACAACTAATTATGGCACAATTAGCGTGTGGGCTGCTGGGCACCCAGCAACGCTCAGCGCCCAGCCTGGGCCACGACACCTGCTTGGGGCTGGAGTGCTCCCACTCCCAGCAATCGGGGGGAAACGGGGGTGGCCTTGCCCCCTGTCCCATCTGCTGCTCCCCACGCGTGGGGAGCAATGGGGATGTTCAGAGCTGCTCCCTCCTGCTCTGCCTGGAGGACAGCACAGGAGAGCAGCCCCGGGTGTTTTGCAGCCCCCTGCGTTCCTCACCCGCGAGGGGAGGCTGCACCGGCGGAGCCGGGATGGAGGGGGCTGGGGGCCGCCTCTCGCTGCTGCGGGGGGAAAGGCCGGTGCTACCCCCCGACTTCCCCCGTCCAGCTCGGCGGCAGGTCGGTTTGCAGAGATGCCGGAGAAGCGAGGCCGGTCCCCGTTCCCCCCTCCCGCCTCCCCAGCGCTCCGGGCGGGGCCGCTGTAACCCGAGCGCGTCCCTACAAAGTGCCCGCGCCCCCGAGGCGGCGGCAGAGCGGGGCCGGAGCCAGCCCGGAGCGAGCCCCAGCCCTGCCCGCAGCCGGAACCGTCCCGAGCCCGGAGCCGACCCCGGCCCTGCCGCCATGGGGCCACGGTGTGGGGCTCGGCGGCGCTGAGCCCGCTGTCCCCGGACTTTGCCCCGGCCCGCGCAGCGCAGGCGGCTCCGCCGCAGGAGCCCGTCACCGCCGGTAACCACGCCGACCGCGACCCTCGCCCCCGGCACCATTCGGGCCCCCTCGTCCCGGGATACTGTCCCCCTCCCTGGGATCCCCCGCGGTCCCCCGCCCCCGGTTAACCTCCCCTAGCGCCCTGACCGGGTTGCCGCTGGCAAGAGAGGTCGGATTCCCGACACCCAAACGGGGTGTTTCCCATTCCGTGCCTCCTCCCATTCCTGCCCAGGGACCCCCGTGCTCTGCCTCCCGTCCATGCCCACCCACCCTCGCGGTGACCTGGGGACCTCGCACTGCTTCTCCCCGGTGCCTCGGGAGAGGAGGGGACTGCCCGCCCGGATCGCTCACTCAACCCTGCCTGTCCCGCAGGGTGGGACCCCCGCGCGGGGGGGCCTGGAAGATGCGGCCGCTCTTGCAGGTCGTGGCGGGGCTGCTGCTGGCGGCGGCTGCCCGGGGCAGGGCGATGGAGCCAGGTACGGCTGCGGGGGGGGAAGCGGAGCCGGGGGGCGGCGGGAGTTGGTTCGTGCCTTCTGAATAATTTCTCCATCCCAGCTGGGCGGCCACCCCGGGCTGGGATGCGGGTGCTTGCCCTGGGCACGCAGCCCCACCGCTCTGCCTGCAGGGCAGGGCTGGCGGGACCTGGGAACATGGCACAGGGACCAGCGTTTCCATCGCTGAAAGGGTCAGGGTGGCTCCAGCCAGGTTCTCCCTGTGCTGCGGGGGCTTGGCTCGCTCGCTGGACACGCGTGGCAGAGAGGGGTTGAGAGACCGCTGTGGGCTGTGGTTGTTTTGTGTGACTCCTGGCGAAATGCGGGCACTCTGTGCCTCGCGATGGTGGGTGCGGGAGAAGGACGCGTCTCTGGGGACCAGAGACCAGCTGCCCCACATCCCTCCTGTGCTGGCCTTGCACTGGGCTGGAGACACACTCGTGTGCTCCAGGCTCCTGCACGTGGGCAGCGGGGCTGCCGTGGTATTTCTGTGCTGGCAGCCAGGTTGTTTCTGCCCTCAATGTGCACATGCTGCTGCTAGCCATCGGCAAGCTGGGCTCCACTGCCAGCCCGGGCACTGCCAGGGCCAACCACGCTGTAGGGGTCCCAGGCGTGCTTGGGGTGTGTAGAGGTCCGACGATGGGTGTCTGGAGGGGTTTGTTGCCCTCTTTCAATAAGGCAGAACAAGCTGGAGCACCCTGCGCCACTGGGAGTGGTGGAAGGATAGTGGCATATGTGGCCTTGGACGGGGACATGCCATTGGGGAAACAATGTCCCCGTGCTGCAGGGCAGAGTCCAGCCCTTACCCGCTTCTGAGGTGGCAGAGCCAGGCTCTGGGTTGTGTCACACCACACTAGGATGGGCATATGGAGGGGACCTGCTGTCAGGGAGGGGTGAGCACTGGGGTGGGTGCTCACCACATCTCTCCAGAGCTATTTGAGAGACCCTTGCTGGAGTCAGAAGACGAACATCTCCTACTGGACCCAGGCAACACATTGAAGCTGTACTGTGACGCCAACCAGAGTGGTGCCAGTGTGGTCTGGTACAAGGAGTCCCGGCCACTTGTCTCGGGGGGTCGCATTCATCTCCGTCAGAGCCTGCTGGAGATCTCAGAGGTTGCCTACGAGGACTCGGGGCTCTACGTGTGCCGGGCACGGGGAACTGGAGAGGTCCTGCGCAACTTCACCATCTCTGTCGTGGGTAGGAGCTCCAGCAGCACCCAGCCACCCTCAGGGCAGCAATGCAGCCACTGCCCGCCCAGCCCTGCAGGCAGGGATGTCCCTCTCAACCCATTTCCCTTTGCAGACTCCCTGGCGTCAGGTGATGATGATGAAGATAGTGATGGGGACAGTCCCCACGGAGACAGAAATGAGGGGTCTGTCTATGTGCACAGAGGTCAGTGCCACACTGGGGCACTACAGGAGAGGGCAGGTGGGGCAGAAGCAGGGGCATGGGGCATTGCTGCCTCCTGCTCCCTGCACAGACCCCCTCCCACTGAACATCCTGCATGTCCCCAGCTCCTTACTGGACTCACCCACACCGGATGGACAAGAAGCTGTATGCAGTCCCTGCTGGGAACACGGTGAAGTTCCGCTGCCCGGCCTCAGGCAGCCCCAGCCCCAGCATCCGCTGGTTCAAGAATGGGCGCGAGTTCCGAGGGGAGCACCGCATCGGGGGCATCCGGGTACGGGCCAGCTCCTCCCAGCACAGCTTCCCTCCCAGGATCCATCTTCCCCAACTCACCTCACTGCCTTACCTCCCCCTTTGCAGCTCCGGCACCAGCACTGGAGCCTGGTGATGGAGAGCGTGGTGCCTTCTGACCGCGGCAACTACACTTGCCTGGTGGAAAACAGGTTTGGGAGCATCCGCTACAGCTACCTCCTGGACGTGCTGGGTGAGGCTTCCTCAGCATGGTGCTGGTCTGGGCTTCCCCGTGCCTGGTGGGGTCAGGGAAAGGGGTGCAGGAGCCTCTGTTTGTGGCCTATCCACTGATGCAGCTCACATGTCCCTCACAACCCAGGGACATGGGATGGAGACCAGACTTGGGTTGCACTGGTCTGTTTTAGGGCTGGGGAAGGGCTCTCTGTAGCTCCATGGTGGGTGGAGAAGGAGGGAGAAAGGAGCCTCTGCTCTAGACCACCATGTCAGTGACACTGCTCTGCTCCCTGTGCGCAGAGAGGTCCCCGCACAGGCCCATCTTGCAGGCTGGGCTGCCCGCCAATACCACAGCCCTGGTGGGCAGCGATGTGGAGTTCTTCTGCAAGGTCTACAGTGATGCCCAGCCCCACATCCAGTGGCTGAAGCACATTGAAGTGAATGGCAGCAACTACGGCCCTGATGGGGTGCCCTATGTGCAAGTGCTCAAGGTAACAAGGGCTGGAAGCACTCAGGTCCCAGATACCCACGCTAAAGTGGTGACAGGGGTGCACAGAGCTCCCCAAAGAGTGATACTGACCATCCATCCCTCTCTGACAGACTGCAGATATCAACAGCTCTGAGGTGGAGGTTCTGTACCTGCGCAATGTGTCCATGGAGGATGCTGGCGAGTACACCTGCCTGGCAGGGAACTCTATCGGCCTCTCCTACCAGTCTGCCTGGCTCACCGTCCTGCCAGGTAGGGGTGGGGTCCTGGCGTGGGTCTGGGATCCCCAGCACGCAGAGGGCATGCCTCAGGCCAACTCATTCACTCCCTGCAGAAGAGGAGCTGGTGCGGGAAGCTGAGGCCCCAGAGACCAAGTACACAGACATCATCATCTACACCTCGGGCTCACTGGCCGTGGCCATGGCCATTATTATTGTGGTGCTGTGCCGGATGCAGACTCAGTCGAGCAAGCAGCACCTGGAGCCTATGGCAGTCCACAAGCTCTCCAAATTCCCGCTCATCCGACAGGTGGGTACCAAACTTGAGCCCTAGAAATGCAGGGGAACCTTGGTGACCAGTGGGCTCCAGGAGTGCCACTTGTGCCCATCACACCTTACCCTGTTGCCAGCCTTGGGGCTGTCCTTCTCACTTCCCCCTGCAGCTCCCTCACCCCGTTGCTCCAAGTGAGATCTCTGCTTTTCTGTTGCATCTTTGTGGGCCCTGGAGCATGGGATGCATGGCTGAGGACCTGTTTCTCTCTCCACAGTTCTCCCTGGATTCCAGCTCCTCCGGGAAGTCCAGCACATCCCTGATGCGGGTCACCCGTCTCTCCTCCAGCTGTGCCCCAATGCTGGCTGGTGTCATGGAGCTGGACCTGCCCCTTGACGCCAAGTGGGAGTTCCCCCGGGACAAGTACGGTTCCATGCAGGGCAGGGACAGGGGCTGCTCTCCCCAGCTGCCCTAGGGACAGCAGCATGCTGGTGGTGGATGGGGAGACCTCTGGCCACCATAAGGCCATCCCTTTGATCTCTCATAGTTCTGCTTTTTCCTGCCAGGCTGGTGCTGGGGAAGCCCCTGGGAGAAGGCTGCTTTGGCCAGGTGGTGCGGGCAGAGGCTTACGGCATAGACAGAGACCGGCCGGACAGAGCCGTCACCGTGGCTGTCAAAATGCTGAAAGGTAACGGCTCCTGTGCCAGTGTCCCAGGAACAGAGGTGGCATCAGTGCTGGGCAGGGGTGCCACCCAGCTGGCATCATGACACAGCCTTCCTTCCCTAGACAACGCCACCGACAAGGACCTGGCTGACCTCATATCCGAGATGGAGATGATGAAGCTCATGGACAAACACAAGAACATAATCAACCTCCTGGGCGTCTGCACACAGGATGGTGAGGGGGCTGTGCAGGCAGGGTTTGGGCAGGGCATGGGCATGGAGCAGGACTAGGGATGTGGACTACTGGGGTCAGTGGCTAACTGGGAAGGGACAAGGCAGGGCAGGGGCTGAGCACATGGCCACCCTTCCCAGGGCCACTGTACGTGATTGTGGAGTTTGCTGCGAAGGGGAACCTGCGCGAGTACCTCCGTGCCCGCCGCCCCCCGACCCCTGACTACGCTTTTGATGTCATGGCAATGCCTGAGGAGCAGCTGTCTTTCAAGGATCTGGTCTCCTGCGTCTACCAAGTGGCCCGTGGCATGGAGTACCTGGAGTCCAAACGGGTATGGCTGGCACAGCTGCATGGACTACCTGTGCTGGGTGCAGCTGGGGAGGGCGTGGTGGTGACAGAGGAGCTGTGTATCCCTGGTGAACCCACTGTCCCTGTGGAAAGGGAGCCCAGCCAATTCCCATAGGCTGTCCAGAGCCTGCTAGCCCCATCCAGCAAAGCTCAAGGCAGTACCTCCCCAAAAATATGGGATTCAAAGCCTGACCCACCTCCTGGGGATATGTGGCCCCCTTTCTGTGCCTGTCACTGCAACCAGGCTGATGATGGAATGGCCCCACCACTGCAGAGGTGCTGGGGGCTGTGTGGGAGGGAAACAGTGATTTTGGTGTTTGAAGGGGATATGTGGAGCTGGAGTCACCATCTCACACCCCTGCGGGTGATGCTCCCCATGGCAGTGCATCCACCGTGACCTGGCTGCCCGCAACGTGCTGGTGACAGCAGAGAGTGTGATGAAAATCGCTGACTTCGGCTTGGCCAGGGACGTTCACGACATCGACTACTACAAGAAAACCAGCAACGTGAGTGGGGCTCCTGGGACAGGGGCACAGGGACCCCCAGTCAGGGCTGAGCTGAGCAGGGGGTTGCTCTCATAGGGTCGCCTGCCAGTGAAGTGGATGGCCCCCGAAGCCCTGTTTGACCGTGTCTACACCCACCAGAGCGATGTGTGAGTCCTGAGGGGAATGAGGGTCTGTGGCTGTGGGTTGAGGATGCTGTTGGTGTGGGACAAGGCAGCACTGTGGGGTTATGCAGGTACTAGAGGATCCCCATAGCAGAATGGGGATACTCTGTGGGGACAATGGGGCACATTCCCCAGGGGTGATCTGCCCTCTCCCATCCCTGCTCCAACAGCACTGCAGGGTGCAGTGGGCCAGGCTGGGGGAGAGCCCTAGGATGTATTTGACCTCCCTTTGCTATGTGTGATCCTAGGTGGTCCTTTGGGATCCTGATGTGGGAGATCTTCACGCTGGGGGGCTCCCCATACCCTGGCATCCCTGTGGAGGAGCTGTTCAAGCTGCTGAAGGAGGGGCACCGCATGGACCGGCCATCCAACTGCACCCACGAGCTGTGAGTACCAGCCAGGTGGGTGGGCAGGGGGCACCCAGCCAGGTGAGACCCTGCTAACCCTCCCTCGTCCCCAGGTACATGCTGATGAGGGAGTGCTGGCACGCTGTGCCCTCACAGCGCCCCACCTTCAAGCAGCTCGTGGAGGGGCTGGACAAGATCCTGGCAGCTGTTTCAGAGGAGGTGAGAGGAGGGGAGTCTGATGGGTGAGGGGTGGGCAGTGTGGGCATTGACAGCACTGGTGGTCATGGCATCATCCCTCCTTGCAGTACCTGGACCTCTCCATGCCCTTCGAGCAGTACTCGCCCTCCTGCGAGGACACTGCCAGCTCCTGCTCCTCTGATGACTCCGTCTTCACCCATGACCCACTGCCGCTGGCTCCTCACCTCTTCTCCTACCCCAGCGTGAGGACTTAAGGGAGGGCAGGGAAGGGTGATGCTGAAGCCACCTCTGCCCTTGCAGGGAGGGGGTCCGGGTTCCCAAAGGTACCTGCTTTGTCTGGGCTGAGCAGTGGGTGGGCAGGGCCCTGAGCCACAGCACCAGGGCAGGGTGACCCTCTCCCTGGGCTCCTTTTGGGCACTGAGCCATCAGCCCTGGCTGAGATCTGCCTGGTATTGTGGGACAGCTGGAGCTAAAGCCTCTCCATGTGGGCACTGCCTGGCATGCCCATGGCATTGCCCAGGGAGATGGGCTATGGCCAGCGCTTCAGTGGAAGTGTCTCTGGGCAGGAGCCCCACTGCTGCCAGGCTCCTGCTGCATCTGTACATAGCCACAGAGATGAATATTTATGTACATGAAATTTCAACCTGATAAATTATTTTTGGAATACACCCCGGTGCAGTTTCTGGGCTGCTCCTGGAGCACAAATAGCTCACCTAAGCTTGGAAGGCAGGTCAGAGTTTGCCTCCTCACTGCCTCCTTGCCCCAGCCAGTTCAGGGCCTGCAATCACTCCTGGGGGACACAGAGACAGTGCCACAGGGGCAGGAAGTGATGTCCCCACTCCTGTGCCTCCAGGCCTGCTCCAGCACAAAGCACCCTTGCATCTGTTCCCCATTAGCCACTGCTGCACTAAGCCACCGTGAACTCCGCTACCAGCATTGCCCTGAAACTGATCCCCCAACTGCCATAGGCTCCCAGGCTGGGAAAGTGCTCTGGGGCCCAGCCCCACGCACTGGGGACCCCCCGCACCCTCCTGCCCGGGCTGGCCCAGCACTCCAGATAAAAGTAAGATATGGGCTTTGTCTCCCCAAAGCCCCTGGGAGCACAAGTTGGGGTCTCCAGTCCCTGCTCTCTGATGCCTGCTTTGCCCCCCCTTGCCCTGTGGTGCCCAGCAATGACGGCAGCGTGGGCAAGGAGGGCTGCAGCTGTCTCACCCCCTCCTGCCAGCCTGCTCCCTGGGTCTAGGGTTTCATCTAGAGCCAGGCTTTGCCGGCCATTAGTCCCAGGATCTGGTTTCCTTCTTCAGCTCCCAGCTGCACTCACAGCCCCCTGCCTGGAAGTTGCCTTTTCCAGCATGGAAGCTGGCTCTGGCACAGCCTGCCCCAAAACAGCCCAAGGTAATGGGGGCTGGCAGGTGCTGTGGGGCAGGACCTGGGCCCAGGGCAGCTGGGAGTCCCTAGATTCTGGCTGCTGCTGTGGTGGTGCCGGGGTCTGGGATCACAAGACACAGAACTTGGGACTTGACACAGCCATGGGTGTTGTGAATTGTATGTGCTGGGAGCCCAACAGCTTTCAGAGCCATCCTGATGTCCCCTCCTTTTCACAACCCCTCACAGGGCTGCTCTGGGGATCCTACTCCACTGGCATACTTGCAGTCTCCATCTCCAGCCCAGCTCCCCTCTCTGTTGGGAGGAGCCCCCCATTCCAGCAGGGCGGGTGGAGGCAGACAGCTCCCTGGCAGGTGTGAAACCTGCCTGTGCCGGCAGCCTGCCTGCCCGGGAAGGATCCCAGCTGTTCTGTAATGTGCCAGAACCAATGCATTTCACACAGCCCTGAATAGGGCATTCACACGCTGAAGGGCAAATTGCCCAAGCTGCCCACAGGGACTGCCCAGATCCCGGCCGGGACTGAGACTGAGCACGGAGAGGGGCTGTGCTCAGCCTGTCCCCACCTCACTTCAGAACGGGGTCTCCGTGCTGAGGGCAGCACAGAGGGCAGGCGGTTCTTGCTCACCCTGCACTGCCCTTTCCGTGGAAAACAGGACCACAGACAATTTCACAGGGTGAGGCATAGGTGGGTTTGCTAATTATTAATACCAAAGGGAAGGAGTGGGGCAGAAGGGGACATGGTGAGCGGGGACCTGCCATCCCCTGCCAAAGCCTCACTCAGTCCCTGCACATTTAAAAGTCTTGCTGCAGCTGCAGGCTGTGGCTGCTACCCACAGCCCAACAACCCACACCAGTGCAGCCCAGGGATGCTTCCAAGGTCCTGGCTGTGCTCAGCACTGTGCCCACCTGCTTGCCTCAACTTGGGGGGATGGCCCTCAGCCCATCCCCAGGCACCACCGCATCCCCCAGTGAACCCCCAAAAGCTGCAGCAGTGGGTGCATGGGCTGTGCCCGAGCCAGCTCTGCCAGGCACAGGGCAGCCGAGGCCATGGCTGGGCAGGGAAGCAGCCCGGGGCGTCCTGCAGCCCCACGACAACTGGAGGCAGTTTTTATTGTTTAACATTCCTGGTATTTTCTGTCAGGGCTGAACCAATTGTCCTTAATCCTCCAGGCTCTGCTGGCCAAACAAGTGTGGCTGAGCCACCAGCATCCTGTCCGCACGAACAGGCCCCTTTTGTGAGGGGGATTTAGTGTGTAGCCCAGTAAATCCTGCTGGTTTCCTGAGGCAGAGTTCCCACACCCCCCACCATTGCAACCCCCCCTTGCCGCCTGCTCCTGGGCCCTGGCACCGATCTCTGCCCAGCCATGCCCACGGGCATCCCGTCTGCCCAAGCTCTGGGGCCATGTACCTGCTGCCCCCCCCAGAATCTGCCCACTCCAGGGCTGCAGATTCCCCTTGCATGTTTCTGGGATATGTCTGTGAGTCTTTATGGGATGTGGGGTGTTGGTGGGGCTGAGAAGCTTCACAGCCACCCCACTGTGCTGGTACTGTCGTTCTGGAGGGATGCTGTACTCCTGGAGCAGATGCTGTGATCCCCAGGGAAATGCTGACCCTAGGGAAGGTGGTTCTGGTCTGGGGTGGGGGAAGGGGGTGTGTGGGGAAGATGCTGAGTCCTGGGGGAGCTGCTGTAGTCCTTGGGGAAATGCTGAGTGCTGATGGATCTGGTTCTGGTCCTGGGAAGAATGCTGAGCCCTGGGGGAGAAAACACCCCAGGGGCCAGGACACCAGCTGGTTCCTCATTCCAGCTCCGGGGATGTGGCTCCGAGCCCCTGCCCGGAGATGCCTTCGCTTAACGACTCTGTTGTTTGGCCGGGAGCTGATGTTGTCTTTTCTCCACAAAACAAAGGCGACAGGATTTTATCTCTGGGGAGAATCTGGTTTCTGTGAGATGCAGAAAGCCTCTGCCCCCGGGCAGGAGAGGATGAGGCTGGCGGGGCGGAAAGGCACCAGGCTGCTGTCTGCCCTGCTGGCAGGAGGAGCTGGCACTGCCCCTCTGGCTGCTCCTGCCTGCCATAGCCCCTGTTCCACGACCTGCCTGTCACTGTCCCATGCCTGTGCCCCATGTGCCCAGGCAGCGAAGGGAGGGAAGAGCCCCCATGGGCCAGTGGGCAGAGAAAAGGGGTCCATGAGCACCCACACATCGGAGTAGAGGCTGAGGCACGGCCCCATCTCTCCTGTGGAGGAATCCAAACATTGGATCCCGCCACAGCTCCTGCGTCCAGGGACACCTCACACACTGATGTGGGCACACACAGACACGTAGGCATGTGCCGAACCCCATATCCATGCAGAAGCACCTGCACACGCACGTCTATGTGGATATGTGTCCATATCCATGCAGAAGCACCTTGCACACACACCTCAGGCACCCCCTCCAGGAACATCCCCCCGTGCAAGCACTCACTTCCAGCCAAACACACACACTGCATCCCCCACAAAACCCCCATGCACCCACACACACCCGCTTCCACACACACACGTGTACTGCACCATCCCTATCCACACACACACACATACACACACACACACACACACACGTGTGCTGCACCATCCACACACACATGCACACACCCACACACATGCACACACACACACATGTACAGCACCATCCCTATCCACACATCCATCCACACACATATGCACAGACATGCACACACACACGTACAGCATCACACACAGACACACACACACACCTCTGCACCTCCCTCCACGCACCCGCTCTCCCCCCCAGCCGAGGCTCCAGCGACACTGCGGACCCCCAGCCCCACCACGGACCCCCGCCCCAGCGGGAGAGGCCAGGCTGGGAGTACCAGCGGGGGCGGTGGTCCCATGCTGCGGACCCCCCGCCCGTAGCCCCCCGCCCGCCCGCCAGAGCCGCCGGTGCTGCGGGAAGCCGCGGACTCTCAGCCCCATCTCCCGGCCGGCGGGAGCAGCTGCGCGGGGCGGGCAGAACGGAGGGGGTGAGCAGCTCCAGTGTCGCACACCACCCGCATTTGGCTGGTGACAGTGGCCTCCGCGGCAGGACAGGCAAGGGACTGTGTTGGAAGGATGACAAACGCAACTGGGAAAAACGGTCTGCGGCATGGGGATGTATCCTGGCTCTGCTCTCCATCATCCGCACCGGGGGATGGGGCTGGGAGTGGGGCAGGGCAGGGGATTGGGCGGCAGAGCTACGCTGTGTCCCAACGTGCATCCTGTTTGTATCCTTCCAGGTGATAGGAGCAGTGTGGGGAGGGCACCCCATGGGCACTCGAGCCTGGTGAACCCGGCTCTACCTTGGATGGATGGATCAAAGCCCAGCGTGAGCTCAGTCTCCTTGCTCAGGGCTGAGAGCCCTGCACTTCCCCCTAAGCTGAGGATGGGGGGCAACCTGAGGGTTGGGGAAGCAGGGCGGTCCCCGAGAGCAGCTGCAGCACCCAGACGGGCACCCTGGGCCTCGGCCCCTCGGGATTATCCCCGTGCTGCATATGGCTGCTGCAGAGACCGGCCTCCAGGTGACAGTGCAGCGACAGCTCTTCCGCGCCGGGCGGATTTGCTCAGCAGTGATGGCTCCTGTCCCCTGCAGCTCGTGCCAGCGGTGCTGCCCGCACCCACTGCCCTTGTGTGTCCGTGGGCTGCCCCCCGCAAGTTTTCGGGGGGCCATGGAAGCACCTGGGCGGGGGGACTGCGAGGTGAGGGACCTGGGAAGCAGAGGTCAGCCCGGCAGGAGGAGCAGCCCCGGCGCCAGGGACACGGGGCCGGTGCAGCCAGCCTGCGGGCACGGAGCCGGGCTGAGCCGCACCCATCGCCCCTGCTCCCGCCGCTCCATCCCTGCGGTTTCGAGCCACGCAAACCGCTTCCTGGGGGAAAGGGGGCCCCCGGCAAACCCTCCGGGCAGGATGCTCTCCGCTCCTCTCCTCCTCTGCTTCCTTCCTCTCCCTTGGCCGGGCCAGCCCTCCCCCTGCCCGCCGCGACTCCTTAACCCTTTCGCCCACGCTCCCGGCCGTGATCCAGCCCCACGGCCACGGCTTCCAGCCACCGCCCCCGGCCCTTTGTGCAGGATCCCGGTGCTCCCCCCGGGGTCCGCGCTCCCCCCAGGCCCCGCCCCGGCGAACATCCGCGGCCGGAGGCAACTCGCAACCAGCCCATCCTGCCCACGGCTCCCGTGGGACCCGCGTGGGCCTCAGCTCCCTCCACTCTGGGGTGGGGGCTCCCCGCCGGCTGGCCATGACGCCCTCATCTCCCTCGGGGGGAGCGCGCGGGAGCCCCCGGTGCGGGGCCGCGGTCCCTTCGGCATCACCGCGGCGGCGGGGAGCGGCCATGGCGGGAGCCGGGGATGCGCACTCCCGCCGGGCGCGGGGGCACCGGGCCGTTCCCGTGGGCGCACCGGGCCGTTCCCGTGGGGACACCATGCGATCTGTGCGCGGGCACAGGGGCCTGCAGAGGGAGCCCGCAGTGCCGGGCGGATCCGTGGCTACCGGCCTGACCGGCCAGATCCCCGGCGTGCACTGGGAGCGGGGCTGGGCTGGGGGTGAGCACGATGGCGGGGTGGGGAGCTGAGGGCGAACCCCGCGGTGGGGAGGCCGCAGCCGCCCGCGCCCCCCGCTGCAGCCCGCAGACAAAGCCCTGAGGCGGCAGGGCCGGCCACGCTGCCCGCTGTGCCGCACATCCGGGCGGGAGCGGGAGGCTGTGGCCGGGATGCCATTTCCCTGTTCCACTGCCGGAAGAGAAGGGCTGGAGAAGGGCCCTTCCTGCGGGAGCTGGCCGTGGCACGGGCAGAGGTGACACAGCAGATGGGAAGCGCATCTGAGGGCATCCCACCACCGCTGCCCTGCTCCTCCCTGAGCCATACCCACATGGCTGCAGGTGGATCGCTGCGGGGCCCCACTGGGACAGCGGGATGTGGACGTGCCTCGGGGTGCGCAGAGCTGCCTGGGCATCGCTGCCCAAGCAGTGCAGCCCCTGCACACCACTGTCCCATCGGGATGTGCTGTGCCGTGTGCCCATGGACCAAGGGCTCCCAGGGGGAAACCAGGCTGGGACGTGTCCTGATGGTGGCCCTGGCTCTCCCCTCGCAGCCTAAAGGGGGCACTTCTGCAGAAGGAGGGCAGCAGGTGACAGCCAGTGCCCAGGATATGGAGTTGCCCTGCTTGGAACAGCCCTAAACATCTCCCCAGGTCACTCACTGGGCCTCAGACACCTGGTTCTGGGAAGACACCAGGCGTTCCTGCTCTGCACATGCCCTGCCTGCCCCTGGGGGGTATAAATAAACCACCAGCTTTATTTTAGGAACGTGGCAGGTTGCTCCAATGAGAAAGGAGGAAACTTGGCTGTTGGACCCTCTCCCAGGTGTGCCAGGCTGCAGCTACCAGTCGATCGCTGAGAGATGGACAATGGCCTGTATTTCCCCCATTCAGGTGTAAACCAAGGGATCCAGGCACGCTGGGTGATGCCCCAGCTCTCTGAAGGTGGGGAGAACTGTGTTGATACTAGAACTCAGTGCCAAGTTCATTTAGCACTGGGCCACAGCGTGGCCACAACTCTCACATGTCACCATGGCATGTGAGCATGGAGGGAAAGGGCCTAAAATAGGTCAGGTGCCACCAGCTGAGCCCTGGGCTGGGACCTCGAAGGTACAAACATGTCACGAGCTTCCTGGCGAGTCACCCCACCCTCCGTGGGTGTGCTGGAGAGGCATGAGCTGAGCATGGCAGTCTCTCTGTGGTTGCAGCACACCAGTGGGGTGACACTGGGTTGGGGACCTCGGCGAGGCTCCTCAGGAGCAGATGCTGGGAGAAATGGTTGCTCCATCACCAGCCACAGACAGGGCAGAGGGAGTGCTTGGGCAAGACCGCAGGGGCACCAGGAAGCCAGGTGCCTTCAGTGGGGCTGCCAAGGTGTGCAGGCTGGGAGGAGGCAAGTCCTCAGTGCCCCGCTGAGGTGCCAGCCCGCAGCCGCTCCAGGACAGCGTTTCAGCGGGGAAAAGCTGCGCCTGCGGGGCAGCGAGGCCCGGGCAGCGGGCGCTCCCTGCCTGGGTGTGCAGAGCGGCTGCTCCGGGGCCCAGCCCGGCGGGGGGAGCGCGGCGCCGGCACGGCCGGGGGCTCCCGCACGGCCGGGACGTGGAGGGGGGCTCCAGGCTCTGCCGCTCGGCGGCGGGAGGGCGGGTGGGAGCGCGGCTGTCCGGGAGCGGCGGAGCCCGGCGAGGACAGCCAGGCCGCGGGCACCCGGCGCCGCTCCCCGGCGGGCGAGGCTCGGCAAGGCTCGCACGGCTCTGCACGGCAGCCCCGCGGAGGGCGACGGCCCGGCCCGCCGGTGCGCGGGAGGGCGTCCCCATCCGCCCGCTCCGGGGGCAGGCGCCGAGCCGCCCGCGGCACCCGCAGGTGAGCGGCGGCCCTGCGGTAGCGCTCAGCAGGGCGAGCGACCCCGGCGCCGGCCGTGCCGAGCCGAGCCGGGGTGGCCGGGCCGCGGCCTGGGGCCTGTAATCCGGCGGTGGCGGAGCGGGGCCGGCGGAGCCCAGCGCGGCCCCCGGGTGCGGCTGCCATTTTGCGGTACAGGCTGGGCTGACCCCATTGTGCTGTGCCCGCAGGTGGATGCCCGGCGCCCGGCATGGAGCAGGCCTGCGAAGTGAGCCGCCGCAGCTGCCTCGTCCCCTTCGGCACCTCGCTGTCGGCCGCCGAGCCCAAGGGCGGCCCCTTCGGCGAGGCCCGCGGCCCCGAGCCGCCCGCCATGCAGCTGGCGGCCGCCAAGCCCGGTTACGGCCAGGACCCGTCGTCCTGCTACATCCCGCTGCGCCGGCTGCAGGACTTGGCTTCCATGATCAACGCCGAGTACCTCGGCGGTGCCGCCGACGGCGCTGAGGCCCTGCCCGACCCTGGCTCGCCGGGCCCCCGCCTGCCTGCGGCGCAGGACCCTGCGGCCGAGGTGCCCCGCGGGGCTCGGGCCTTCCCCCTGCTCCTGCGGGACGGAGGAGAGGAGGCACTGGAGGAGGAGGAGGAGGAGGGCGCCGAGACTCCGGAGGAGGAGGAGGACGACGACGACGACTACGACGACTACGACTACGAGGAAGAGGAGGAGGACGACGACGACGAGGAGGAGGCGGCGACAGAGCCCGGCCCGCGGAGCCGCGGCCGCTCAGCTCCGCAGCGGGGCCCCGACAGCCGCCTGCAACCGGCCGAGTCCGTGCCGGACGGCGGCCCCGGGGAGCAGCCGGAGTCCTCGGCGGCCCTGCAACTCGTAAGCACCGTCGGGGCGCGGGCGGGGGGGCCGTGGCCGCTGCCATTTTGCGGTGCGGCAGGGCCGGGCCGGCCGCGCTGCCTCCCTCGCCCCGGCACCCCGGAGGATGGGAGCCATCTTACCGAGCGAGGGGACCGTGCCGCGGCCAGCGCGGGCTGTCACCGCGCTCACCGCGCACCTGTGTCCCGGCGCGGCCGCCCGCGCTCCCCCCACCGCTTTTTCTCCCGTCAGGAATAAGAGGCATCATCCTTCTGCCCAGCGACTCGCTGCGGAGTTCGGTGGAGTTTTTTCCCCGTTCGAAGGGGGTTTTTTTGAGCGCAGTGCAGATGAGCAGGGCAGGAGGGAGCGTTCCCATCTCCTGCCGCTCCGGCTGAACGCTGTCAGAGGCTCTTTGTCTGGCCAGGCCTGAGGTTGCCGAGCTGTGAGACCTTGGCGGTGGCCGGGGAGAGGCCGTGTCATGGCCTGACACAGGCAGCAAACCTTGCCTCTTATTCAGGCGGACTTTTTGTTTTGTTTTAATTTCTCTCCATACTCACAAATTCCTTTAATTATAATATAATTAATAAGAAACAACTGATGGAACTGTAGTAGGAGTTCTGAAAGGAGATAGATGCATTTAGTAGTTTTTTTTGAGTAATTTGCTTTTGAATCCAAGTATAAGAGATGTTTCTCAGTGTAACCTTTTATTTGCAGCCGTATATGTATATTTCCTTCAGTTTTCCGTTGTTTTGCGTTTTTCTTGTGTATTTCTTCAATATGTTTTTCCACCTCAGGGTTCCCTGCTGGAGGATACTCTGGACTTAAAGTATTGATGCAGGGTTTGAAGATTAGCTCCTTTGATAGGACTAATACCGAAACCATCTTGCTCTCTAATTTCAGTAGAGCCGCTGATGCCGGACAGATCGTGCTGGTGCGTGCAGTGCTTGGGAGGCAGGATTGTGTTCCTTTGGGAACACTCAGTGTTCCTGCTGCGTGCTCTGGGAGGTGGGGAGCCCTTGTCACAGAGTGCCCGTGCAAGGGGCGAGTTCAGGAAGATGCTGACAGCAGCTTAATTTGTTTGTGGAACAGTTTATACTCTTCAGCGTTCCTTGGGAGGAATCCCTCGGTCTCTGGTGGTGAGAGGCTGCTGTGGGTCTGAGGTTTGTGCATCTCTTCAGCTTTGCTTTGCAGAGGAAAGCGGGATCTCTCGCAGACATGTGCTCGGTGATGCAGTTGTGGGAGGGTCTCACTTTGTAAACAGAAGCTCGCTGAGGTACTTTCACAAGAGTTGCCTTTACAACGTGCTCCACAGAACTGCAGCTGGTAGAGTGACAAAACCGTCCTAGTGACGGAGCCTGTTATTTGAATATGCAACGAGGGTTGACTTTTCAGTGAAACTGCCTTACCTGTGTGCTGTAGTTAGCCTTGCTGGGTTGTTCTGGTGACTTGAAAGCACAGCTGCATTCCAAAAAAAAACGCAAAGAAGAAAAGCATTTTTTAGGCAGCCTGGGGTCCTGCTTTCCCTAAGTCTTGCATTCTTTCTTCAGTAAGTGAATGCATGTTGTCTGAGTGGTCCTTCATTTAGCTCCACTGCTTGTGGAATGGGAAAAGACAGGGCCAAGTGCCAAGTTACCTCTGAGGCAATTCAAATCTTTTAATGGTTGAACATGACATAGTAGCTAGAAATACCCAGGTTTGCTCTTCAGGTCATGTATTCATTTAGGCATTTAATGCCAGTCTCATCTGTGTTTGGTAACTGGAATAATTTTTTTTTTTTTGAGAACTTGCTAAAACCTAAAACAAAAACCCACCCCCAGAAAAAAGCATCATGAATCCCTGGGAGTTCTGCACAGCTGTTTGTCTACTCTTAACAGCTATCAGCTTTATGCTGCTTGTTGATGGGGCTCCTCCACCTTACAGCATGACTGTCTCAGAGCTTTTATTTTCGAAGCTCTTGGCTCTGAGTGTGCCACTGCTGCTCAAACTTCCTGTTTTGCCAAGAGGGAAGTGTGTGTGTGTATCTCCGGTGTCTGTGTCTGCCCCTTGTGAGAATAGATGCTTGCTTTGAAAAGGCAAATTTCTCAAATGTCAAGAGTGCTTGGAGCAGAAGGGCCAGAATTTGGTTTAGTCTTAAGTGAGATGCAAAGTCCAGCATTTAAGTAATGCCTCTAGGCGGGAGGGGTGGTGGCAGGTATTGTTTTGCATGGGGATTTGTTAATAGCCCTGGCACCCGCTGCTCTCAGACATTTCCCCAAACAGGGGAGGTTGCTCAGGTACCATTCAGTTGTAAAGAGAGATGTGCATATTCGAACTAAAACTATTTTAAGTGCCACCTTAATCCTCCCTTAAGGGTGTCTGAAGTTTCCAGTAGCTCCTGACAGATTTTGTGTTGAGAAGGAAATTATAGCATCAGTTCTTGGGTCTTGTTCTCCAGAGGTGGTGATTCAGTAGCTGCTGGCTTGCTGCCTTGTGCACGTGTTGGGCTATGGCCATTTAAATTTAAATGGGTGGTTGTTCTTGGCTATCTCTGTTATTTACCATCCCGATGTGAGTTTGTCTGTAGTGCTCTCCTGGCATTTCCAAGTTGCAGAGGCCCTGGGCAGCATTATGTGAGTCCAGACTCCAGTGCTGGGAGGGTGGGTACAGCGACTGAAGGTCTGAGTGCCGTAGATATTGCTTGAATTTAGATGCTGAGGAATTGGAGCAAGGTGGAGTTGTTTCTTGCAGAACTGTCGTGCAAAATTTGCTCTTCTCGTGTAACTTTTGGTGCCTTAATACTTCAGTTTGTTGGTTTTTAGTTACTATGTATGAAGTATGTTTGAAAAATTTGATTTGCAGAGTTGAGTGTTTGAGGAAGCAGAGAGTTCTTGGATTCAGGTACATCTGGGCCACTCCTGCTGTGTATACATTTTGCATTCTCAAGCTGTTTTCTCCATGGGACACTGATGGTTTCAGACTTCAGGATGTGCAGAGGCTTGCATGAGGCTCAGTGTCACTTTTCATTATTACTTCCTTATTGTCCATTCCCACGATGCAGGAGTGTGATGTTCAGGTAATGACAGTGAGGAAGTGAGGTATGGGGAAATTTAGAGCCAGATGTTTTATCCCTAAGAATGGCTGCTTCCAGAGGCTGGGTGTGAGGAATGAGTGTGGCATGTTTGTAAGGCTCCTGGAAGGTTTTTGCCTTACCAGAATCACGCTGTTTGCGCTGTGTTGGAATTATTGAAGGCCAGCAGAGTCCTCTCTAGAATTAATCCATTATGACCTTGAGTTGTGTTCTGATCTGCAGCTGTGGGAGGGTACTTTCATTATAAAGTGTTGGTGTTGCCTGTGTGAGAGTTACTCCCCTGCTTGATCTATTAACTGACGTGTCTGGTGCCATTTCTCTCTCTGCTAAAAATAAAATGAAGGAACTGAAGCCACGTGATCCTCACTACTCCTGTAAACATTTCTGAAAGAATCTCCTACTCCAGACTGTTGATCCGAGGTGTAACCAGCTATTGATAACATCATATTCCTGAGATATAGTAGATATGGCAGTGGTTTGTTTTAGCAGGGAGCACAAATTTCCTTGGTCAGTTGACATCTTCCTGGTGAGGAGATGAATTCTGTTTGGCTGTCAGTGATTCCTGCAAGCATTATCTCCTGCTCTGTGCATCTGGAGAGAACAGGGTCTTTGTGTGCTACTGTCCCCATGCCTCTGATCTGGCACACATCCCCTTTTGCCATTAGGATTTACACTGTTTGGAAGATGGTATTATTTCACAGAAAAGAGCCTGTAGCTAGATCTTGCCTTGCTGTGCAGCCTGATGGCACCCACCAGGCCTTGTACTGAAGGGCATTCCTGTTTCAAATAGCTCTAAACTTACCTGTAAAGGACTTCAGCCATGGTGAGTGCCCAGAAGAATGGGAATTTCCACCGTCAGGGTCCTGTCCTTGCCTGTGTTATTGACCATAAATTTTTAAGGTCCTTAATGACTTCATGCTTTCACGGTGTGATGATGCTGCATTGCCTCTTGGTCATGGTGGAGGTGTGAGTGGGGGGTGTTAGGAGCTGTCACAGCAGGACCTGCAGTGTGTGAGGCTGTGAGAGCAGCTCTTTCTGAGGGTTTTGAACAGTCTGTAGGATCCAGAGCTCTCCTGCACAGCAGGTTGGATCCTGGAAGTGTTTTGTCATAGCATTTGGGTGAGATTGCCCTTCCTCTCCTTGTTTCATTGTATTTGTTTTCTGATTGCTGATTAGGTGTGAAATATCTGTTTGCGTACATTGTGTTACAGGAAATGACTTGGTTTCTCTAGAAAATACCTGGTGTGCCGTGTGAAATTTGAATGACTGATGTCTTTGCGGTTCATGTTCCGAAGCTGAACCTGTCTGTTTGCAAATAGCAAAAACAGAGGTATTTTCTTTCAGATTGGACAGTTTAGAAAGTGGTGTTTTGCTGCATGTAATGACAGAAACCTCTGTGTAATTTCTGCTTTCCAAATTTAAAATTTACTTTTAAAATTGAGCAGGAGAGAAGTTGTTCAAAGAATGTCCTGCTTAATAAACTGTTTGAAGTTGTAAGTCTGGCAATAGGAGCAATTAAATTGGCTTTTGCAGGTGTTTTTTTTTTTGGCTGGATGCTGCCTCTCAGACCCTGCTAAATGACTATATGTGCTGGTGATTTCTTTTGGAAGAGTATATCTCCCACAACTTGAACCTTTTCTTCCTAATGAATCTTGGGTTGTTGAGGGTAGTGATTGACGTTTAACTGTTACAACTCCTTCTCAAGCCTTGGTAAAATTAAAATCAGTGATAGTGGCTCAGTTTGACACTATAGCAGTAACCTTTGACTTCAGAGCAGCATATTCTGCATGAAGTCATGGATTTGTTCATTGCCTCTTGCCATGTAGAAGCTTCTTGTTGTACCTTATTAAACCCTTGTTCCCAGAAGTGGGGTTAAAGTGTGTGATGTGCAACAATTATTGTGTTTTTTAAAAAATTTCCCCAAGTTAACTGAACAAATCTGCAGCTCACTCAA